CTTCTGCTCACGCATGCGGTCCAAATATTCGAGAACTTATGCCAGAGCATTACATCGTGGGGTGCTATCAATCAGCATATGGCACGCCATAGCCCAGAATGTTCCAGAACGGCCAGAACCCCATACGTATGTTAAGGTTGGTGAGCTAAAAAAATTCACTGTCTGTTCACTGTCTGTCGCTGTTCGCAGAAACCGGTTCTCTTGGCTTTTTCTGTTTATTTGTCGGGACATAACAGTAACATAAACTAGCAGAGGGATCTGCTGTATATTCCTTATAAGAGCATGTCTGAAAAGGATAAAAGACTTTTTACTGGTACTTTATCGTAAGCTAGATGTCTGACTCGATTCCATTCACCTGAGAGTGCATTCCGCAATCATTCCCCGTCTAACAGTGATGCACTTGGCCAATAGAGTTCAATACCCAGCACGCCCACTCATCGAAACACAACTTCAACGTTCGGGTGCACCCGGAGATTCTCTACTAATAGCTAGTTGAATTTGAATAAATTCATACGAATAGTCTAGGCAAGCAAATAAAGTACCAAATCTTTATTTTATTTTTTGTTTTCTTTGTGTACGCCCTAAGAGGCGTTCACCAGTCGAGCTACGAGACAGAGTTGGCTCATTGTGTACATCAGACCAATACGGGCTTTTCGACGTTAGGCAAGTAGACTCTCTGGTGAAATCGGAAACGTTCAAATATCTTGATAAATGGCTGACGAGTTTCGGTCAACATTGCAATTCTAGGTTAGGAACCGTCTCATTGATGTCAAATGTTTTTTTTCACCGAGAATCGAAAGAAAGATGCGACAAAGCGAAACTCACTGTTGAGTGGCAAGTGTGCTGTTTCGAGCCAGTTCCGTCAGTGTCATATCGCGAACTCCAGAATCCATTTTCCGTTCAAATTCGTCGAGAGCGTCCTGAGCTTCTGTATTAAGTCGCCTCTCCAGGCTGTCAAGGTCACCTTTCAGTGTATTCAGGCGCTCGAGTAGTTCAGGCTTCATGCATGCCGGCTGAAGTCGAAGACAAGTGATATGATATGGGAGAGTAGAATGGGAGAGTTTTATCTGCAATTACGGATTATCTCGTACTTACCTTGGAAAGCAGCCTAAAAGAGATACTGATAGAAACGAAAATGCGTTTCCTAGGAGGTAATTGGGAAGAAATAGACGCGGTGGCTAGGATAAGAACTTTTTTCGCCCGACATTTCGCCTGATTCGCGGTTGGATCCATCATCAAAAATAGCATCAAATAAACGTTTTTCGTAAATAGGGAGTTTATAGGATCTGTATTGGCCCACAGCATCCGCTTGTAACTCAAGATCAGCTGCTGACGCATGGCGCCTTTGGCCTGCAAGGCCGGCGTGCCCACGCCAGCCATCGCCCATCTTAAGATCGCACCACGACCGCTAGTATACACATTAGCCGCGTGATTGGCTGCCGTAACAAAGCATGCGCCGGCGTTCCGGCGATTACTGACTCTCTCGTCACTCCGTAATTGACGCCTTCGAAGCCAGACTGCAGTCATCCGAGATTCAAAACTTTTTCCATCCTTCTCTACAGAACACACTTTTTCCAACAATCTGGCCTTCCCAACCTCTACTCTCTTCTCTCCTAAGGAACCATGATCTGAAGATCGCAGTTGCTAGGGTTTAACTCATTATACCCCCTGCGATAGACGTAATCGTTAAGCAACAGCATACTTATTACAATAAACGGCTGCCCTTTTATCGATTATTATTATCTGCGGTGCGATAATGGCCTGATGGCTGGCATGCGGCCGTTATTTGCTGAAATGTCACCACGGTTGACTCCAGTAAGAACTCGAAAGCTCAGACAAGTAAAAGCATAATTCCGATGACCATCGTGCCTTCTTCTTTACCTGTAAAAACTGTGCCTATTTTCGCCCTCGACATCCTTGGCAGTTTAGTACATGCGAGGATGGAATCTACAACGTACTGCTATTTTATATTTGTCACTGTTTTATACCGTAGTCTCAGGTTATGCAGCACTAAGTGACTTGTAATATGCGTTTTGTGTCTTCAGGTTTTCCTTAACGAACTAATTCTCCACCGATAAGTTATGGCACATGCAGTGTTTTTGAATTCCTTCAATGAAAAGGTCATTTATTATTACCATACATGTTTAAGGTCGCGATGTTGATGGTTTTTGCACTAAA